GGGGGGGGGGGATATTTCAGAAGCATGACTTGGAGGGTCTATCAGAGCCCAGAAACCCCAGTGAGGTTCAGGCTTCATCCTTAGCATCCATTCTACAGGATGCCACATGGCTTCCAGTCAAGGAGGCCAGCAGTTCTTCATACACAAACTTGGGGCAGCGAAAGGGAGTGTGGAGGTGGAAGGTCCTCCCCCCAGGTCCCGTAACACTCACTCACCACATATCAATGGGGGTGGAGTACTCTGTGGACCCCAGCAGCACATCGGGGGGCCTGTACCACAGGGTCACCACCTCATTGGAGTAGGTCTTCGTGGGCACTGACTTGGCCCGGGCCAATCCTAGGGACAGACATGTCACTGAACCTCTCCTCTGACGGCACCCACACTCTAAGGAGACTGTCAGACCCCCACCCAGCCCTGGGGGCTTTGTTCCTCACCAAAGTCAGCTAGCTTCAGCTCCCCCCTCTCGTTGATGAGCAGGTTCTGGGGTTTTAGGTCCCGGTGCAGAATCTTGCGGCGGTGGCAGTAGGCAAGGCCCCGGAGCAGCTGGAACATGAAAATCTGAGGCAGGAGAGAAGAGAACAGGGAGCAGTGAAAGGTGGGAACATGTCCCATCTGGGAGACCCTGTGCCTCTGGCCCCTGGCTGGGACTCACATGGGGACAGGGACTGGGTAAAGGTGAGGTACCTGGAGAGCTGCCTGGTTCTCCTGCCCACACTGCAGCCCCATCCTGGGCTCCATTCACTCCAGGGAACCCAATCCAGAAGGAGAGCGCCAGGTATATGGAGGAGGCAGGAGGGTGGGGGAGACCAGGCAGTTCTCCAGCCTGGGAGCTGAGGGCGCTACAAAGGGCCGGGGAGCCCACCCTGTGGGGATGTGTGCGCCTGATTCTCTGACAAACACCAGAAGAGGTCATTCATCCTTCTGAGCTTCCCCAGAAGCCCCCCTTCATCCCGGCAGGTAACTCATGTACCCATCTGACAGATGGGAAAACTAATGTGCAGATTTTGGGGTGGGGGGTTATATCAACAGCTAAGCGGTGGCAGAGGATATGTGTCTGTACGGTGGGGTAAGGGGCTCAGCACAGTTCCTGGTCCTCTCTGAATGGCACTGCCCCTGCCCTCCCTCCATCCTACATGTGAAGGTCTGAGCAACCTCAGCAGCCAGGGCCCTTGGTGGTGAGAGTGAGTTCCCATGCTGGGCTTGAGAACAGGTGGGTGCCAAGATGGATGGGGCCTGAGTGCGGGGTCCCTGCCAGAGGCTCTCACCTTGACATTGTGCATGCTCATGAGGTTTCCACAGTGGTCCAGGTACTGCTTCAGGTCACTGTCCTGGAACACAGAGCTTGGCTCAGCCCTGTCCTGACTCCTGGCTGGAAGCCCCTCCCTGGGTAGGGCTCAAGCCCAGGGGTGGGACAGGTCCCTGGCTCCAAGCTGTCCTTAGGCCTGGGAACATCTGAGAA